TTTTTTAAGGAGACTGAAAAATTGCACAAAATGAGTTTCATATCTGTAAATGAAAATAATCAGTGTGATCAAAATGAATTTTTGGTAAAGAAACGTAATTAAGGCCTAAAATGCGCCGAGCGTTGTGCTCTTGAGCTCAAAGAAAAGATATAAACGAAAAAACATCTGGGGCTAAATTACATATTTTAATAAAATCAAGTTGTAACTTTTGTTTACATTTTAAAGCCACATATTTCCTCCAGATTGGTTTTATTTTAATTGTTTGTTTGTTTTTTAATTGGGTTTAATACTGGCAACAATTGGGATCCCCCCTCCCTCTTTGAGTCTGAAACGCATTTTCGCCTGATTGCGCTGCTTTAACGGGTTTTCTGGGGGGGAAAGCTGACAGAACACGACTATCAGGCTCCAAGTCGCTTTAATAAGAGTTTTATATGGGGTCTCAGTGTCCGCTCATATGAATGCGTTTTAAATCAAATCACAGATGCACTTTTATTCAGCCAGTTAAAATAGCAGAACAAAACCGTCTTTAGAAATAAGGCTTTTTTTTTTCTTTCTTTTTTTTTTTATTCCACTGGGCTTTTTCTGAAGGCGAGAGAAGGAAGGGGAGAAAGGCCGAGGGGCGCCTCCTCCGCAGCTGAGGGTGACAGTTAGTTCATGGTTAACAGGATCATGAGCGCACGGCTCAGGCCGCACACTTCTACTCTGCGCACAGCCGCAGCTCAGTGCGCAATGAATGAAGCCTGTGCAAAAAAGAGTGATATTTAACACATCTGTTAAAGCGTTTTGATAGCAGAAATCCGTTTAAGACATTATTCCATGACGAGGGCCAGATTGAGTGTTGAGAATCCTATGAAACCCTAAAAGTGATTTACATCTGAGATGCAGCCCATGTCTGCAACTGATGTAGAAGGTGTAGGTTTAACAACAAAAACAGACTACAGTTTATTCTAATAATAACAGCCAAATAGAAATCTCACCTGATTTCTTTTAAAAGAAATCCACCCAAAGATTTTTATTTTTTGCATAACTGACAATAGATTAAAATAATAACTAAGCTTTTCTTTTAAATCCCGCATAGCAGAAGGGGAGCGTTAATGCTAAAAGGGAATGATATCTTTTTAAGCAGTCATTAAATCTCCCAATATAATACCTGAATACAAAGATTGCTCTTTAATTAGGGCGCTTGGCTCTGCCAAACAAAACAAACTGAAAGGAAAGTAGCCAACATGCAAAATTGATGACTGAGCCTCCTTTGTGGTCCCCACATTGTGTGATACTTGCTTATGAAGTCTAATACAATCATAAATTGCGTCCTCCGGCCAATCAGCGGCCCGGGAGATGCTGCATGAAAGCGACCCATGTGGAGAACTTTGTTGAGCACCATTGTTGAGGCTGTCAGCCCTGAGTGGAGGGCCGAGGGGGGGCAGGCTACTATAAAACTTCTCTCCCCAGAGTGAGGAAACCAGAGGAGTTAGCAACCGTTCAAAAGACTGATTCTCTCCCAGCTGACACAAGGAGTATTTGAATTTTTCTTAAAGCCGGGACCATGATGATCCCAAGCGTTATTGCGCCTCCTGCCTTCTACCCCGGGCTGTACCGGCCCGCCGCGGCTCTCCCGCTCCACCAGACCCTGCCGTCGGCCTTCCAGACCCACTCCAGCTTCTTGGTGGAGGATCTGCTACGGATAAGCCGTCCCGCCGCCTTTATAAACCGGACTGTCCCGTCAGCGAGCGCCTCCGTGCCAACAGCCACCACCACCGTGTCCACCGGCGGCGCGCCGGAGCGCACGGTAGCGGTGGGTACGGGGACGCGCGAATCGTGCTCACCTAAAACATCGGTGCCGAACAGCAAGGATCCGAGTTTTCTCAAGTTTGGAGTGAACGCCATCCTCGCACCCTCACCAAAGACGGGTGAGTAGACACTACACCATCGCTCTGCTTTCTCCTTACGCGCATGCGTTTGATTTAGAGCCACTTTTTTCTTTTCTAAATGAAGGAAAGATTTTAACATGCTCTGCTCTTCAACAGCGTCCTTACCCCCTGCAGTCCACAGTCTGAACACCAAGACCTTCCCCGTCCCCTGCTTTGACGCAACCTTTCACCCCATATTCAGGGCGCCTTATTTACCAGGTAGGCGCAACATTTGGTTTTTTACTCGCTTCTTCCTTATCGACGACTCTCTTTAGCCTTTAGAGTTGTGTCTGTACTAATTGCATTTAAATGTAAAACACTTTCACCCCCTCCTGTCATATATTTTAACCAAAACAGAAGCAGAAAGGGAAACAAACAGCCAGAAAAGAAGAAATCACTGTCTCATTAATGGGGACCGCTGGCTCTGGCCTCTGCGTGGACCCACACACCCACCCCCTAATTAACCAATTATCCCAAATCGTCACGCTCTAAATTTGAGGCGGGGTGGCGAGTTATAGTCCCCCTTGCTTCCCATTGGGGGGCGTTTTGGCATTTCCCCGGCACCGCGTTTTCCCACAGCGTCCGGGGGGCCAGCGGGCCACTGTGGCGGGCAACAAAGCCCTCACCACCATGACCAATTTGGTCAGCTCCCACCGGGTGAACCACCCACACACCCCGGAGAGTGACTTTTACCAGTCGGACCAAAGGCGTGAACCAGTCATGCACTAATTTCCCTATTAGGCGCTATTGAGAGTTTTCAATATTCTCACAAGACCACATAGCGCGTCGTTGTTCTTGGTGCTGCTGCGAGCGCGGGGCAGCTGCAGTCAGGGGGGAGTCCAGGCAGTAGTGTGCGGACAGGAACAGCGTCCTTCGCCGGGAGAGGGGATTTTCAAATAACGCCAACGTTAAAAAAAAAAATCCCAGTTGTGCTCCAATTGGAGCAGTCGGGGGAAAGTTTTCTGCATGCTGGGCGACTCATAGGATAGGTTACCGCTGACCTCAAATCCCCACTCTGTCTGTGCCTTAAACGTTTCTCTTTTCTCCGAGCGGGCCAATCATCGACTTGAGATAAAGAATAATCTCTTAGAAAAGTCTATAAAGTCGCTAGTCTTTCATTCAGACAAATCATAATAGAGATGGAGTCTTTTCATGGGCTCAGCTGAATGCCTCAACAAAACAACTCCAGCGTCCTGAATAGCTTTTCGTGTTCATTTAATGAAAATGATTTGAGGGCACGAAAAAAAAGCACCATTCCCCTCCACTCTTCATTCCCCCATCCAAGCATCAGTATTCTGGTATGCAGTTGTGTTTAGTTTGAAAGTGTAAATCTCCTTTTGTTGCGATAATATATGGCCTTCGCCGCCTGTCCAGAGTCTTTTCACCGTTAGTTCATTACTACACAATTACCGTTCACGGTTTATTAACTCCTCTATCCGCCCTCACAGGGTTCCTTAAAGGATATGCTACCTCTTTACCATACCAATGCGGTTGGGGACCGGCCAATGTGCTAATTAGTCACCTCGTGCCATTTCACTCAGGACGCATGAGCACTGCACAGTTCCAAAAGGGAAACTTCAAATAATAATCCATTGAAAGCTGGTCCTAACGCAGAATCGTTATATTCATGCGGCCATGTCATGGTCTCATGTCCAGGCAGTTTTAAGTACAGCAATTCGGTAAATTAGTGGCATGGTGGTTGTCTTTAATGACGGAAAACGATGCTAATTGCTTCCACTTAATTTTCTGTTTTGTTTTTCCTGCACTGTAGCATCTTCATCCGTTGTTCCAATCCCGGGGACTTTTTCGTGGCCCTTGGCAGCCAGAGGAAAACCCCGGAGAGGGATGCTGAGGAGGGCGGTGTTCTCCGACGTGCAGCGCAAAGCCTTGGAGAAAATGTTTCAGAAACAGAAATACATCAGCAAGCCCGACAGGAAGAAGCTGGCATCTAAACTTGGCCTAAAAGACTCGCAGGTAAAACTCGCAAGTGCTCAAAATGTTCAGTACGCCGTGCGTAAAAACCAGTTCCGTAATCCTCTAGCGACTAACCCATTGTCGACAAACAACTTTACCCACTCATGATTTTCTCCTTCTTGCAGGTAAAAATTTGGTTTCAGAACCGACGGATGAAATGGAGAAATTCCAAGGAACGAGAGCTGCTGTCTTCCGGTGGATGCCGCGAGCAGACTCTGCCCACCAAAGCCAACCCGCACCCGGACCTCAGCGATGTGGGCAAGAAGTCCTCAGCCGAAGAGGAAGAGGAGGAAGAAAAGGAGTTCGGAACAGAGAGAATGAGGGCGGCAGGTTCCACCATCTCCTCTCCCTCCCTCTCCAGTAAGCACTCGGATTTCTCGGAGTCAGATGAAGAGGAGATAACAGTATCTTAATTTATTTTGAAAAGCGAGTATAGAGTTATAACCCATGATCTGTTTTTATGAGACTGTGACCAGATTAGAAGGAAACTGCCGCTGTGACAAACCATCAACGTCGCCGTTCAAACAAGTTGCACCCATGTTTGTGGCTTCATCAGTGCATGCGCACTGGACAGGATCTGCTACTGAGACACAGTTTGTTGTTTTGCACAGCTTTGTTCAATTGTACAGTATTTTGTACAAGTTCGTATGGAAGTTTTATGCCAAGAATATTGCGTTACTTTACATTGACATGAATAGAGTTGTTTATTGAAAAATTTAGCTATTTTGTTAATTTATACCAATTTGTTTAATAACTATGTTGTATTATGTGCTGTATATATGTTTATTTCACCTTTTGTACAAAAATCAAATAAAACTAAACAATTCCAAGTCACATGTGTGTGCAGTTTTAAGATAACAGTTTGACCATTCAATCATAAATAATTATTAATTTTATTGAAACACAATAACTTAAGACTAGTACAGTGATATCAAATTTAATTCTCTGAGCCCTGGACAAACCAGTGATGAGAAACTGCACCAATCTGCTCTGATGTAAAGAGACTGTACACAAAATACTCCTTTTCAAGTACTGTAACAAATTGTCTAGAAAAAGGTCATCAAAATGCTGCACAATAATCAACTATTTACAAAATTATGTTACATGTAAAAAAAATAAAAAAAAAAAAGTACATTGCTAAGAAGGCTAAACATTCATTGAGTTTGTGAGTAATAAATCAACAGACGAGTCAAACGTTTGATAGACATCCACACCTCTCAGAGTGGGTTTACACACGCAAACAGAATTAAGTCTCTTTGTGCTTACGAGGACAGTAGCAGGAGAGGCCTTATGAAATACACAGACACACTTAATGGACAAAGAACGTTGGCCACAAATCTGTAAAGTTTTCACATATCTGGTTCCACGCTGTACATCTCGAGGCAGTGCTGAAAACAAACACGCATGCGGCTTTTGGCTTCCATTTGGAGATCAGAATGAATGTTGCATAGGATAGGTAAGAAAAACATGGAAAGTCGCGCTGGACTCCATGACCCCAGCTTTAAGCACCCCTCCCAGAAGGCAGGCTGGGAGGCTTAAAACAAAAGTATGATATTCGTAATTCTTTAAGCTACTGAAATAATGGCAAACCACTTTTCATTATCATTCAACCACAAGTACTTTTATCTCACCTCTGATTAATTATATTAATATAAACAAAGCAGCATATGCACTAGTTTTCCATAATTAGCTCAATATGTAGTTATGACAGTTTTGTTCATCACAAATCACATAAAAACAGACAATAAGTGTGGCAGAAGCACAGTTCAACGATGTGGATGAGGTATAAAAAAAAAATTAAAGACTTTTTCTTAAAGTTCCCCTCACCCGATCAACCACCAATAAGTTAAGTTCGGGTATTGAGCACCACAACACATCCGAATCTTTTTCTTGATAGTGGTCCAAATATTTACACCATCTTCTCAGTTCACACATGCATACAAAAGCACTACTTCTCTTTCATGTGTATTCAATCATGCGGCATTGGTGAATAATATGATGAGAGGTCAGCATCACTCCTCGACAACCGCAGTCGCTCGAGGTGAGAGTCGACTCAGAGCCCTGTCAAGTTTACAGCCATTTAGAGGAATAAAGAATCCGCTAATGCACGTAGAAAATAGTAAGGCATTGTTTGTTAGAATTCAGTCCAGCACCAAAAGGGTTCTGTGCTACAACCGCCTGCTTGGGGCTAATGTGCATGGAGATCTCAAATGTTTACTAAGGGGGTTGAAGCATGAGCTCACAGACTTGCACGGTGAAGTTGTAACACAGCTAAAGGAGAAGAATGCCTCAAAAAGGACAAATCTAGCTGTGGTGGATGATAACTTCCCATTAAGTGCCCTTTCCATTTAAAAATCTTTTTGTGAGAACTTTAAAGGGATTCTGTAAAAGAGATTTTCATCTGTGCAGTTTTTTAAAAGTTACTTTACAGATGCTGTGGATTAAAAAAAAGAAACAAAAACCTTTTCTCAGGAAGTAAGTGTTTATATTTGTCTCTTTAGCCAGTAAAACCTACATGTTATCCTTCTAGATTTACTGGAATAATAATTTCTCAGCTATAATGCCATATTATAACCTCTGTGGACCTCAAAGAAAAAGTGCAATATAATAAAATACCAAAACAAAGTGTAAGTAGGTTTTGTGATAAGAACTTTTGATTCAACTAACTAAGCTTGCCTTCATAAGGTTCTTTCTTAAAACACGGTGTAGACAAAGCTTTGCTACAGTATTTGCTTACTTCTCTGGTACCATATAGAAAGCCATCAGTTCCCATCCTTCATGTCCACAAACACGCTCGGCTATGGCAGGTAGGAACTCATCGCTTAGTTGGTTTTAATGGACACGTGTCCTTCGATGGACTCTTTTTTTTTTTTTTGTCTTTGCTAGTTTGGGATGGACAACTAATGAACTCTCTGAGAAGTCTGTTGGAGTGAGACCAGGCATGCTATGAGACTGAACATTCACTTTGGCTCGATTCATCCTCCAGTGATCACACAGGCAACTTCAGCAATGGAAGAGGAGGAGGAGCAAGAAAGTGGCTGGCTGTTCCTCCATCCATTCAACCCACAGCAGCATATATGTTTTCAGAAGGTTGAAGTACAGGGTTCACTCACACTCCAGAGCTGAGGACCTGTATCACCATCTGCAGGCAGCTCTGGCACACTACAGCTTGGCAGGACCCGTAGTGTCTTAGCCTGATGTCCTTGGACCGATGCTGCAGCCTTGTGGAGGATGGAGGACTCCTGGCTGGTGTTTTAAGTACACTGATGGCTGGTGATGATGGTAATGATGAAGCCTCGCCAACAGCAACAGGCTGCGTGCTTTTCTTCTGTCTGTCTGGAATACATGTCAGGCTCCAGAGAGAGGAGCCACGGGCCACAGTGGTGAAGGGAAAAAACACAAAAAACAGGACAAACAGCGCAGTGCAGTAGAAACTTCTGTTGCCCGTTTACTGAAATGCAATTTCACTTTTTTTTTTCTTTCCTTTTTTAAAGTATTTGGGTTACCTGCACCCAAATTAAGGTGGCTGGATTTTGTGGCATGAAATTCAACCCTCAAAAGGAAGTTCTCACACTGCGAACAGTTCTTATTATTTAAAAGAAATTTTTTTTTTTTTTTTAAGTGATGCCGGTGTTGCCTTCAGATAGCATCACAAGGTCGACTCCAGCGATGAGTCCAGGATGTCATCCTGGTGGCTGTTGCTGTTGGAGTCGCTGTCGTAGCTCTGTGGGCTCGACGAGGTCGCTGCCTCCTTCAGACGCATCAGCATGTTCATCTGTCGGCACAACTAAGTGTCAGTTCGACTGAGCTTTATGCACGAAGCAGTTTCTTTCACACACAGGTTATAGTAGACACTGTGCATTTGGTTTAAATGGTTTAAATGCTCAGAACAGAAACAGGCATCACAGTCTGCTCTTTACTCACCAGTGGGTCTGCGTCACTGTCACTCTGTGGCGGCTCTTTTCTGACTCCTTCTCTCGAGGCTGAGTAGCCATCGAACCCGACATCCTCTGGCCGGAGCTGCAGCAGCGGGGGCCAGTCACCTGGAGGGGGGGTTGCTGACCACGGGTAGGTGTCAATCACCCAGGCAGCTGGGTCTTCCCATGCAGCTCTGCGGCCATACAGCTACAGAGAGAGACGAACATCAGAACTGTGACCCAGAGAAGCTTCGAGGTAGACAAAGAATTTAGGACAACAGTTTTGAAAAACAAGTTTGTTGCCTGAGGTTCAGGTTTATGAGTAATAACTAAAAGTTACAGCAGACAAGAGTGAAAGCTGGAACATATGTGAACAGAAATGAAAGAAGTCACAGTTTCTGATTCTTAGATGAAATGGGAAAAATGTGAAAGAGAAGAATGGTAATATGTTTAATAACTCTACAAACAAAAACTAAGCCCAACCTGCAGTCCCTCACGCACTGCCTCCAGCATGTAGGGGATGATGGAGTAATTCCAGAGATCAGTGAACCAAACCCTGGAGCCTTCCACGTCCATGGGACATGACAAGAAGAGACGGGGTCCTGCAAACCACAGAGCAGAGGTATAAATAGTGCTTCTACACTGGCATCTATGCACTCCCTGTTCTCTCCCGTGCTCTCACCAATAGTGACATCAGAGGAGCTGTGTGTCTCCAGGAAGCGGTTGAGGTGGTGCCAGACCCGCGGGACCCAGTCGATAATCTTCACCAGCTCTACGTTGCGTGTTCGGCTGCTGATCTCCATCTCGATCAGCTTCCTTCTCAGGTAGCGGCCAAGGAAACCTTTCACTGGCTCCATGTGGTTGACACACAGCACCCACCTGATCAGAGATCACACAGGCATATCAGGACTCAGAAATATAACATCCTACCGCCTGTCCTGAAGGGAGAAGCTGTAAATATGATCATGTGAATCTAAGCATTTAGTTGCCAGGCTCTACAACATAATCTATTTCTCAAGCCAGGGAACCAGGGTTTTCTCAAAAACCCGTCTGACCAGAAGCTTTAGAAAACAACCATTTTTTGGGGGGGGGGTGCAAACTGCTCCAACATATATAAATAATTGTTGCCCTAATATTACATTTTTATATTTGTAGCTGTTGTTTACAGTTTTGCAAACTAAACATAAAGAATTAAATTCAATATATTCAAGAGTCAACCCAACACTTACTTAACCCTAGAAAAATTAAATATCGGAGCTCTTAGAGGTGACAAATTCAGCTGTTACCTCCTAAGACCCACTAAAGAGGAATTCCTCTGCAATGTAGCTTTTTGTGCTTGTTACATTTTGCAGACTGGGTTTAACAACCAGCATGTAGAGAATCTGTGTGTATGTTTACTTTGCTGGACTTGTGATCCACATTGAAAGTGACGACAGCATTTGGAGTTAGCGGTCGGCCCTCCAGCAGCAGCAGGTGACGCGATAGCTGATTGGCCAGGTAGGTCTTTCCTGTACCGTTATATAAGTTGTTGGTATTTATGCTTGTGCTGGTGCATTTTGTTTTAATTACTGTGTGGTTGGGTCTCTGTGTTTTATAAGCAGTGCCAGCCGATAGAAACAAATAAAACGCTGGGGTTTCCCCCCCAGGTCTTTGCTCTTTGTTGTGCTCATTTTGTTTTCGGGTGCACACATATTTGTCCGTCTAGCTGTTCCAATTCTTTTTACATTCCTTCAGGTCCATTCTGGCAGTTTCAGCAGGCTTCCTCCAGGAATTTGCTGGCATTTCTAAGTTCTTATATTGATGCTATGACATTTATTCTTTATACTGAGGGGATGATTGCTACTGTCTCACTGATAAATTCAAAAACTGGGGTGAAAAGTAGCCAGAAAAACAGAAGATGAATCAACTGTGCTGAACAGGCCTGTCACTGTAGCTGTGGGTTGCATGGAGCCAACCTGTAGTCACATTTCTAGGGAGGTGCATGTCAGGTTAAGCTGTAGGGTTTACGTAGCTATGGCATAAATCCCCAGTTTACCTGAAGTTGTGGTGAAGCTGCAGGTTGGGGGCAGATGAAGTGGCTTGGCTCATGGTGCCGATAATGTAAGGGCTGAAAGGCAAGAAAAGTACATCATTTCATGAAGTTACTAAACACATTGAGAGGGATTTACTCTGCTTTAATCTGACGTAACTCCCTGAGCTGTTCTAACAGGGGTTTTCTTTCAGCTCAGTTCATTTGAGGTAAAGTGAAGCTAACCTGCTCTACAGAACAACTGTACACATTTTCAAATAAATGCGATACTTCTAGTCTTTATTGAGTAATAACACTAAGCATGTATACAAAATCCATTCAAGTTTTAGGAGGACTGTGCAGATGGAATGTGTAGTGAACTGACCTGTGCTGGTAGTTGCAGTTGAACAGACCATTGAAGATTTCTCCCAGGGAGCTGACATGGTGGAGGTTGTCCAAGATGACCACTAGAGGGCTCTCTGCCCCTGAAACACTGCTGCACTGCTCGGCCAAACCTGATAAGTACTGACGCAGCTCCTACAAAACACATAGATTACGTTTTACATTTCTTAAGCCAGGGAACAAATTGTTTCTCAAAAACCCATCTGACCAGAAGCTTTAGAAAACAACCATGTTTTGGGGGGGTGCAAACTGCTCTGACATATTGAAATAATTGTTACCCTAATATTACATTTTTATATTTGTAGCTGTTGTTTACAGTTTTGCAAACTAAACATAAAGAATTAAATTCAATATATTCAAGAGTCAACCCAACACTTACTTAACCCTAGAAAAATTAAATATCGGAGCTCTTAGAGGTGACAAATTCAGCTGTTACCTCCTACGACCCACTAAAGAGGAATTCCTCTGCAATGTAGCTTTTTGTGCTTGTTACATTTTGCAGACTGGGTTTAACAACCAGCATGTAGAGAATCTGTGTGTATGTTTACTTTGCTGGACTTGTGATCCACGTTGAAAGTGACGACAGCATTTGGAGTTAGCGGTCGGCCCTCCAGCAGCAGCAGGTGACGCGAAAGCTGATTGGCCAGGTAGGTCTTTCCTGTACCGCTGGGGCCTGACAGGATGACGCGCCTGTGCTCCTTCAGCAGGGAGACGTAGCGCTGCAGCATCGGCTTTGGGATGAGCGTGTCGAACACCAGCGAGTCCACGTTTTCACTTCCTGCACCTGTACACGGACACATATATTCATGTCATGGGAGGTTAGCAGTTTGCAGAAGATGACTGAGTTTGTCAAATATCTTAATGTTATTTTCTTTAGTTCAGTTAGCTAAAATCCTTTACCTTTCATAACCAAAGTGTATTAATTAGATTTTTTAATCAATCAATAGTTTGTTTAAATTCAGATAATTTAATGTATCACAATTAAAAATCCTTTTTTTGACAGCTTTATTCATTGTTTTTTTTTGTTTGTTTTTTACAGTAAAATAAAATGTTTTATTCATTTATTGAACCCAAGACATATTTTAAGTTTTAGCACAAGGTGTTTTGTTTTGATTTATTACTGTGGGAAACCTTTCTCTTAAAAACTACTCTCTATATTAAAAAAAAAAAAAAAAAATTATATCTATATAGATATATAGATAGATCTATCTATCTATCTATATCTATATCTATATCTATCTATATCTATCTATCTATCTATATCTATATCTATCTATATCTATCTATCTATCTATCTATCGAGAGAGAGAGAGAGAGAGAGAGAGAGAGAGAATATCTATCTATCTATCTATCTATCTATCTATCTATCTATCAATCATCCCATGATGAATTTAACATGCTGCCGATCAGCCACATTTCCATTGAGCTCATGGAAACTGAAGGCTGCGATGCGAACTCATTGGAACCAATGAGCATGCTGAGAGGTTGGTACCTTTGAGCTGGATGTTGATAGTGTTGTCTCCCACCAAGTAGCCGCACGGCAGCAGCTCAGGCGTGTTGGCGGCACTGGGGCTGCTGGGCCGATGGATTTCTCCAATGTTGTATCCCTGCACGCTGTCTGAGCTCAAGCCTAGCTGGCTCACTGGATCCACATGGGTGATGTACTCCTGTCAGAGATAAAGCATTTAGCAGCTTTCTAAGGACTGAAATGTTTCTGAATGAGAATGTTTTGTCCAAAAACATGAAAGTGAATGGAAGGAAATTATGTTTATACAATATAGGAAGTATAAATGTGTCAAATACAGCCAACCATGTTTTGTCTCTATCCGATTCTTAACCATTTTCCTGTCTTTACCTTGAAAAGGCGTCGCACTACTCCATCCAGGACATCCCACTTAGTTTTGCCACTAACACCGATGCAACCAATAAGAAAATGTCGAGGTCGAGCCTCCTGTGATGGAAAAATTAAAGAAGTTGAATATACCAAAAGCCTACAGATAAAATTAAAACCTAAAAACAACCAGAAAAGCGTTTGTTACATTAGTCTCACCTCTCCCCACTTGCTGTCTTCATCCAAGCTAACGACAATCCTCACGTGCCGCCCCTCCTTCCTCCCTCCTTCTCCGCCCGTGTCATCCAGCAACATGTCTGACCGGAAGACAACGTTACATGTGATTTCTCCATTGTCAGTGTTACACATTAAAACATTTCATTGTTAAATACACTGGAGTAATGTATCACATTCCCCAACTTTCGTCTTGGATAAACCCTGGTCGGCATTTAATGTAAATCTATCCTGAACTGTGCAGGTCTTGTCTTACCCAGGCTGGTGGACTCACTGGTCGTGAGGTTGAGGCCATGTTGGGAGAGCCCTGGTGCAGGCCCTGGGGTGTGGCCGTGTGTATGAGGGGGAGGAGAAGATGAGATGGAGGCCTGGGAGCCCGTCCTGCTGCCCTGGTTCTCCAGCTTCAGACGGTCATTCTCCGCCTTGAGCTTCTCAATCTCCACCTGCAGATAAACATCCGAAAATAATCTTTTAAGTACATGTATGTATTCACCCTTCCCTCATGTCAATTAAACTGTTAGCATTAAAAATGTATTAAACTTAACATCAGAAATCAATAACGCTTCAGTCACATGAGTACAGCAACAATTATATGCAATCAGACATTCAATGTTTACATCCATCTCAATGTGAAGCATACTCAGTAAGCTCAGTCTGAAATTTGCAGACCTGCATGCGGTTCATGGCCTCGCGGAGTTGATCAAGCTGATGTGCAGAGCTAAGAGCCTCCAGGCGGATGTCAGTTAGTTTCATCTCCTTCTCTCTGAGCTCACTGCGCAGCTGCATCACCGTCTCAGCCTCGCTGTCCAAACACTCCGACAATCTGTATGCGCACACAAGGCAATGCAGTTTGAAGCATTAACATAGTGCAATTTGAGCAGTTTGGTTGTTTTTTGTCACATGCAGATGTTGAGCTAGTACACACAGTGTGTTGGAGTGCGTGTTCCTGAGCATGTGGCCTGTGGCCGAGGTGCCATTGTGAGGCAGCTTGGGAGAGGATGGCAATGAAGAGTCCGTCATCTCCTCGATGTCAGAGTGAGAGGAGGCAGACTTCGGAGATTTCTTCTTGCTGAATGCTTGTTTGAAGGAACTTCGCAACTGCAGGAAACAAAAAGAAGAAAGAAAGCAAGGCGATGAACAGGTGAGGTTATTAGAAAAGCTGTTGAGAGGGGAAGTAGTGGGAAAACTGCAAGTGAGTCACAGGGAGAAGAAATAGGGGGAAACTGTCTTATGACTGACTCAGAGCTACAGCCCCAAACACAGTGTAATGTGTTATGTTTACACTCTTATGTAAACATATTTGTTTTCTTCTTCTTCATGTTAGTAATTTATTTAAGGTGTTTTGGTAATCTCCTACAAGGACCACAAGCATTATGGTTCTTCTGATATTTTCAGGTGAATTTTTCCTTAAAGAGCCAGCTCAAGCGTCATGAGAGCAGCTTTCAGGGAGAAGTAGTGTTAGAAAGGAGCAGAAAGGCACTACAGTGACAGCAAAGTGCAGGAAAGGAAGAAGAGGGCCGATGTTAGTAACCTATAAAAAGTGCAGGGGTTAGGCTTCTTTCCTTTCATTTCACATAGCGTACCATTCTTACCTCATACACCTGCCACATGAAGCGAAGCACAGGAAGACAGAGAGACAAAACAGCACATGTTCATATGGGTTTGGGGGTGATAATGTGTTATGGTGGGACAAACAGATTAAACTAGAGATGCCTACAGGACTAGAGATTTTATTTGACTTCCAGGCAGCTGCAAGCTAATTCTACATCATAGCCACCATGAAGCGAGGAGTCTTTCATGATCCATTATATACTCTCCAACACACGCTGCCCCCATGCACTCAACACATCACTCACTGTATGAGCAGCACCTGCATGGAGGAGGCTCCTGTGGGGTCTCATCTATCCAAGCAGTGGTATTTTATTATCACTGTGACCTAAGGCAGGAAACTCTAGAGGATCTGATGTCTAAAAGTGCTACATTGCTCTTCCTGACATTTGACAACATCTGGATTGACAAGCACAGGTGGCCAAACACATTGTTTCAGTCAACCAGGAGGAAGAGAGGGAGAAAGTAAAGTTTCGTACTTCATCATCTCTGACTTGTCCTCCGGTGCACAAAAAAGTCTTTCAACAACAAAATTTTTTTAAGTGTAATATTTGTTGTATGATCACTAATAAAAAAACAAAACACTAATGACTCAACAGTGGGACAACACTCTATCCAGAAACCAATAACTACATAATTTACAGGTCAAAAGACAACTACTACATTTAGCTAAATATCAAGGTAAAACGCTGATGTTTTCTGATCTCTAAAATAACCAGTCAAATCCATCATTACTTGCTTTTCAACAACACTGAGTCTATGAAAATACTGTTTGTAATCACCTTCTCCCCAGTCAAAGAACGCTAAAGAGGAGAAACACAAAGATGTGTCACCCACACAAATATGAAAATGCAGATACACAAGACAAAAAAAAAGTTAAAAAATGGCTGCTTGTTGTCACAGTGCAATCACCTCCTTGTACATAATCTATTTAAACTGCTGGCTTCTTACCCAGTTCTTTTTGTTCTTCTTTTTGTTTTTAGCGTCAGCATCCATGTTGGAGCCCACACTCGAGTGGCTGGTCGCGCTGGCAACACTGCTGACGCTGTCGGAGGAGTGCTGTCTCTTGATGCGCAGATCTGGCTGCTGGTTCTGTTGCTGCTGCTGCTGCTGTGGACTGCCATTACTGCCAGCTGGGGAGACAGAGGATGGGGAAAAGATGTATGGCATTACAATGTGTCCCATGATGACCTTTCTCCCAGACATGTCTATACAGAGCCTCTATACTAGAGTGCCATTGCATGATTCCCAGTTAATAATCCTGATATTATTGGCACAAATTCAAATTGCTGTACTGAGGCGTTACTGTTATTTTCTGTACCTGTGCGATCCCCTTTAGGTGTAAGTTCAGGTGTGTTAATGACTCCATTGATGGCAGCCTGAGCAACAGCGTTCTGCTTTTTCAGAAGCTCGATGGTCTTCCTCAACTCATTCAGCTCGGAGTCCTGTACAGAAAAAACATGATGATCAACCTAACAATCATCTACAGAGACTTTGTGCACAGTAGTTTTCTTTCAAACATCAGAAACCAAACATTTTTTTGTTTTTTTTTCTTTTCTGTTTTTACCTTCTGCTCGGCCGTCAAGGTGAGACTCTTCAGCCTTATGGTCATGTTGCCCAGAGACTGTTCAAACGCTGCCACCAGGTGAGCCTGACAAGAAACAATCAAATTGCATCTTAACAACTCCTTACATAACATGGCAAATATACAAATACACAAATTTTAGCTAACTTCAGAGAGCTAAGTGGTTCGTGTATAAAGAATTGTATCCCAAGTCTGTTTTATAATATCCTGTAAGTGTATGAAACAATCTTGATTTAATAAACAGAGACAATAAGAAAATGAACGGCCTACTTTTTGGATGAACGGAAAAAAGTGAGACACGTTAACCTTGAGGCTAAAGCCCAAACATGTTAGTCAATCCATCTTCACACCAAAATGAAAACATAACCAAACCCAAATAATATACTAACCAATAATGTCCTGGGAAAAAATATTATCTTCTGGAGAGGGCACATTACGAGTACAACTATGACAAAACTGTTCCAAAAACAATCCTTGGATCCTTGGCTCCTTCAAGGCCACAGACAGTCAACGATTGGTCAGACCTAGTTTAACTCTAGGTGGTGTTTTTTGTTTTTTTACACGACCTTCTGAGAAAGAGGTAACTTGGGAATGTGTTCACAGTTCAAAAGAAATACAGACACAGACATGACATGTCAAAGAAAAATAATGTGAGTGCCAAGGATTAAAACTGGAGACAAATTTACAACAAAAGACTTGAACTATTCCTTTTGAGTGACATGGATCATTATGGTGATTTAAACAGTTAGACATGGGTGAACTTGCTCATCCTTCACTATTATGTTCTGGGCTGTGAATATAAATGTTCCGCGGACGCCTGTAGAAATGTGTGTGAGAGTTGAGCACAGTGCTGACTGACATGTGATTCAAGTCGTGACTTTTTAGAGCAGCCTCCAGGGCTTCAAGGTGTGTTCAGATAATTCATCATGCATATAAATACATTTGAACAAAGCCCACCTCCCCAATACCAGCTCCTGTCTGCTCTGTCTGTGCTTATCTTTCAACACTCGTGTGCACTTTGTGTATCCAGGCGTCATCGACAACAAATCTTTACTCCACATCTGGGACAAACCCTCGGCATTGTGCTGGGACTTGACACTGCTGTAATGTAACACCTCTGCCTTGCTTCCATATCTCTAATCCACAGTGAAACTACTAGCAAGCGCCCACTCAGGCTGAAGATTACCAGCTGAGCGTGGCAGGACTTGTGCAATACAGGAGCAGGGTTGGCAGAAATGATCATGTCTAGAGATGCTTAAAGAGATGTTCTGACCATTCTACCAGTTGTAAAATGATACCTGTAAGAGATATCCCCTCAGTCTGAATAAGTGTTTCTGCCTGTATTTGGAAAATGCTCAGGAATTTGAGAAAACGCTGGCATTTTAAAGAGCTCAATATGTTTGTTAAAACTTCTCTAATTAGCAGTTAGAAATGAGCATATATGGAAATTATTTGACATATAATGGCTTATTTAGCTTAATCTTTGGAAAATAAAAACTATATACTATATATAATAAAAGGGTTTTTTTTTTAACCCCTTTGATAGTTTTGACAGATGTTCTTCAACAGTTTGGGTTTGCATGTTCTTAAGTGCTTGAGGCCTTACATTTGCACTCAGTTGTGTTGTCAAGGCTGAAACTTTTTCCTGGGAGGCATCCAACTCCCGCCGAAGCTTGCGAATCTGAGGATTTACAAGAAAAAAAAATGCCATGACATCAAAAGGCGCCAAAACAAAAGCATACACACATAGATTTAAATACATGCATGCCTTCATGGAGCATGTATGTAACGCTAAGCACATAAATGCATCCAGCATCAAAAGAGTCAGGCTCCCAGATTGAAGCTCTGAAGCTGTGATTGAAGTTCAGGTTCAGCGGTGAAATGGCAAAAAGCATAAAAGAGCACACGCAGGTGTTCACAGGAACAAGAGCTTGTTACAGGGTCAGTCACAATACAGCTACACGTGTATCTGGATCCAACTGTAAAAACATCCCCGTGTTCCAACAAGTCCAGTGGCTGTGTGCGGAAAATTAAAGGAGGAGAGAAGTGCTGTGGGCGGGCTGATGCTTACCTCCGACTGAGACTTTTCCTCATTCTGTAAAACAAACACCAGAAGATAAGAAAACCATTAGAGGGCACCACTGACTGAATTGAGACAGACTTTAATTAAAAAGCAGAGCAGAGTGGAGGTTGGAGCACACTCTCGTCTGATTTGTTAGCTCCATGGATATGAGCTTTATAAACTGTGGAAGATATTGTCTGGCGTAATATGTCTGGAAAGTAGAGAAATCCTCCTAAAGGCATTTCACTGAGAGATTCATTGTCTTGACAGGCTACACATGGAACAATAGTAAGAAAAGACAGGTAGTCAAATATGTACAGAGTGAGAGCATGCAAAACAAACGCTCGCACGAACACAACACACCCTGCTGCCGTTCACCAAAACAGCGAAACACGCAACACCCACATTTATGTGTAAACACACTGCAACGGAAAGATCTTTCTTAGCAAGAGGTCAGTGTATTGTTGGATCAAAACTGGCCTCCCTGAGGCTAAAATTTAATACGACTATGAAGCCGTCTTACGCCATTTCCAACCAATGACAGCGACGTATCAAATGGCTCAGTTTTCCATGAATTTTGCATCTTCTGATGAAGATTAGATATAAGATTTAATATGAAGCTTTTAAATACGAAATTACATTTATAGAACTTTGCAGTGTGATCAACAGTCTTTCAGCATAGCTCCTGAACTTGAGCAGGAGAGCTGATAAGCCACGATTTTTCCATCTGTCCACTTTCCAGCTCCTGATCGAAGCAGCAGCACGCAACAGCTTTTATCATCTAATCTGTGCACAGAGGTGTGTGAGCACATCTGTGTTGTGGCACGTGGCATCTGTCCACATACGCAAACGGAGCTGTCAATTGCACGCAAACACTAACACACACACGCACACACACGAAAGGCTTATCCTAGATACACAAACAGCAGTCTGTCTTGGAAACGCAGACAAAACATATCATGTATTTTATCTGTGGTGACACATAAGCTCTTCAAATGTGAATATAATTTAGTTAGGCAAAATGTTTGTGTGCTTTTAAGGACAAGCAATAAATAGGATAAAAGAAATTTCATATCAGTGTGATTTCTAACCTGGAGACCTTTAAACTAAACTGCAAATGAATCTCTGAAATCAATCAAGCACCATTACCTCGCAATCTACACTCAGAAAAGAAAAAAAAAAAAAAAAAGAGTTCCACATAATCAGATAGTTAACAGCTGTATTCAACACTCAGACCACAAGAAAAACAACAAAGACTTTCTGCACCCTACGGCCCTGCTCCGTCTCATCCCTACCGTTAGTTGCCACGATGTGACAGCGCCTGTCAAGGATAAAGTTGCCATCATTTTGCTTCCAGTCTCTTCCCCTCTGTGATTTTGAACCTGCGACTCTTTATCTCAAAAAGAACCAGCCAGTGTCTGAGAGTTTCTCTGCTACACCTGCCCAGGTGAGGAAACTCACACAGGGAGGAGGAGCCACACTGTGAAGCACAAACCTCTGACTGGCTACAGTGCATACTCGTGGGCTGTCCCGTGTGACTTCAAACAGCCAATTTCTCACAGGATCTTTGAGTTACATATCTGCGCGGATTAGGGGGTAAATTCACCAATTCATGTAGTCAGTATATCATAACTGCGCTGACAAAAGAACAAACTGGTTTCTCCAGTTTCCATGTGAATTGTGGTGCTGCTGCAATACCACAATACCCGCTGCTTTGCAAAGACTGCCTTAAATGAGATTTTGCCTTTTAGATACCATAACAAAAGTGCACGCTTTTTCAGTAGCAGTTATATTGAAATGTTTTTCTTATTCTTTATTTACCCAAAAATAATGTATCCAGAAAAAATGCACTGCTTCTCTTTTGCATCACTTTAAAAAACGTAGTTTATATTCAGAACCTCAGTCATATATGACTAACTCTGTTTAACTTGGCAGTTTCTGAACTCACCGTGGAGTAAATGGAAGAAGTGCTGGAGACCAGAGACAGAGATGATCCGTGGACTGAAAAGACAAAATGTGAAAGCAGTGATTAGAAATTACATCTGTAGACACAAGCACCTTCATTATCAGCAGACCTCCCACACTCCCCTCACTAACCACCCACTCTTTTCCAACACTGCCCACCCAGCACGGTTCCTCCCAGTCTTCCCAGCTCCTGCCCACCTCCTCATAAATGACATAATGACTGCCGAGATAAAGAACTCCTACATGCAGCAGTCAGACTGTGGCGCAACTAATGACTCAACTGGTAATAACACATCAGAGGCAGGGAAACAACACCAGCACTGTTTCCTGGCTGTGAGCAGATCAGAAAGGATCAGCAGTGTGATGTCATCAACCGCACCGAGAGGTTGTGCCGATCCCAGCTGATTTATTAGTTCATAAATAGCCTTGTAAGTATGAGATGTGAGCTCACAGAGGACTCACTTTTATCTTGATTTGGTCTAGACAGAATCATGTGCTGGAAGCCACATGAAAAGGTGAACTGCACTTTAGTTTTAGATCATCATTATTCGTTTACATCTTTTTCTAACTACTAATATCCATTATTCTTCACAGAAGTTGTTTGATTAAGGACGCCAGTAGCGCTGAAGGTTTTATGAATGCAAATTCCCAGTAAGTCTCTTTTAGCCTGCAGATGCAGGAAGAGGATCAGAACATACAATGATAAAATGGGGAGGCTTTTGGGTGGAGGGGATGGAGTGAAACTGTATAATGGTGTCGCTCTTAAAAAAAAGGACAGGTCCGACAAAGTGTTTTGAGTATAATGTGACTTTTGTCCTGTCACTCAAAGAACAGTCGGGTAACTCTACACTTGGGTAATACGCACATGTACACACACACACACACACACACACTCTTATCCTCACAGGCCTGCACACTGCAAACCAACACACAAACACACAGCAAGAGTGTGTGAGATGGAGAAAGTTATGTCTGAGTAATCTTGAATGTCACCACATATCCCTCACACCTCACTGTGAACCCTGTCATTATCTCCACTAGTAAAAGAGAGGACAGACTCGTAGAGCTGGAAAGAACTGAGGCAGATATGCTATCGGGAATGGCGGTGTCTTAATAATAAGTTTGCAGCGATGTAACTGTGCGTGCACATTCCACCAAACTCTTAAAAAAAAACAAAAAAAAACAATCAGGTGTGCGTGACTTTCAAAATTAAGGCAGCTTTGAAACTGTGTACACGAGAGAGGACACGACTAACCGGTGACCTTAGTCTCTTAGCAAAAGAAAGCCTCAAACACGTGTTTGCTTAGAAATGTAACCGTGTTCTGGAGGAAGATAACTGATGGCAAAAGGTGAAATCATGAACATGTCTGGTATGGCTGACAAAAGATGTTTATCAGAGTTTGATATTTAAAAAAAAGAAAAAAAGAAAAAAAGGTTTCAATGTGGAATTTAGAAGAACACATACAATCAGCTGTTTTACAAAACGTGTTACCAGATTTGATGTCTTTGCTCATGGCTTTGTCCTCTATATTTACACACCGCCTTCACTGTGGAGGACACACATGCCTTTGTATTCCTTTACAGTTTTGGGTGTGAAACCCGCCTGTGATGTTCATCTGTGCGTTCAAGTTTTACGTCAGCATCCTATAACCTAAAACCAACCAGGATGACTGTGACAAATTTGAGAGGAGTATAAATTTCTGCACTTTTTTTAAACTATAAAATGTTTCACTTTACCTCCTAGCATGTCTTTCAGCTGCATTATAATAGGTTATGTGTTTATTATGGTTTACTGAAATCCAAGTTCACAGCAAACTACTGTTTTAACATCACTGAATGCTGGGTTTTTCCCCATTGAGAGAACAAAATACTGTGCTTCCTTCACTCTCCCTTCTTCTCCTCCCCCCCCCCCTCTAAATCAAAGTGCTGTTTCTATGGCTCAGAGGATTGGGATGGCTCCAGCAGAGAAACCTCTCCTGAGTGGGGAGTCTGCCCGCTGGTGGGAAAAGCACTGGTGGGTACTTTTCCCAATAAACAAGCTTATGAAAAAAACAAAGCCACACTAAAGCTGATTATGGATTTCTAAGGGGGATAAAGGGCTTTTCTTTGAGGAGGGGTTGTAATCTGCCCTAATGTTCTCTAAACAAATGGAATAATAATTCTTTTGGCATGAGGACGTGAAATAAGGAAGCTGAGGCTTCACAGTCACAGAGGGATGGGGGGGCATGCAGTTCTTAGAAAAGGATTACACCTAATTACAGATTTCACCAAACATCTGAGGAAAACGTGGCCAGGACTCACACGGAGCCACCGAATATTCACCAAACCACCACATCCAGCTTTTTCCCGTCTCCTCCTACCTTCTTCGAAGCCATCCCTGAAGGATCCCGATCTGCTCATGGTGCGTGTCTTCTCGTCAAGCGACATGCAGGAGTTTCTCAGACGGTTGTCACAGCAAGGGTCGATAGGTGCATCCTGATTGGTCAGGCTGTTGTTGCGCAGACCACCAAGGTTAATCTGAGCTGATGAGGTCGGGCTTGATGCTGTGAAAATGATATACGGCAATGTAAAAGTTGGCAAGCATTACATTTCTTTGTTACTCATATGTTTATAAAATGTTATAAAATTGTGACAAAGGACTAAGGTAACATTGTCAGATGTGGAGACATACCGAGTTGTCCAAAGTTGAAGCGTGTTCCAGAGGGGGAGGTGAGGCTGGAGCCGGGAGAGAACGGAGAATTGCTGGCCGAGTCCTGTAGGCCACTGGTGGAGTGGGAGCGCAGCCAATCACGGGCCTCCTCGTGGCCTCGCAGCTGTGGTGAGGGACCATACCTACAGGACATCAAAGACAAAAAAGGTCAAACCAGAAGTGAGGACACAGAGCAGAACAGGTCTCCATTTTTACGGATGAGTTGATCTCGATTTGGATTTTTTTCCCCAGATACGTCACAATCAGTGAGATGATTTCTTTCTTTTTTTTTGCTGAAGCAAACTGATTAATGGCTTGGATTTAGCGACAGATGAATCAGATGCTGAAACAATTTAAGACAACAATGTGCCAACACTGACCGACTTCCAGCTGTGAGAAACATAAACTAGCAGGAAAAAAAAAAAAAAAGCAGAGCAGAAGCCAAAGAAAATCTGAGGCCCACAATCAAGTGTGCTGCATCGAAGCACAGTGACAGATCTGTACGGGGGACAACGCGACATGCCTCTGCACAGAAGCACAACACAACAACAAATGTGCCAAGTGCTAAATTAAAAAGAAAAGCATTCCTGAAAGCGTGACAACAAGCCTCGAAGACTGAATGTGGACGCAGAACAACAAAAAGAAAGGCGGAGGACAATTTAGTGAACCAGTGTGCAAAAGTGCAACGTGACCAGAGGGGGAGTGAATTCAGTACCTGAGTCCCTTCTTAGGCAGAGTGTTTCTACCACAGTGTGGCCCGCTGTGGGAGAGAAACACTTCAGAAGAGGAAAACAAAGGAAGCAAGGAGGCAAGGAAACATGTGTGGCTGCATCTCTCAACAACTACCAAATTATATTATTTCTAGACTGCAAAAAACATCCATCTTTACATGTTGAGTCATCTTTTTAAATTTTTTTTGGACACAATTTTTCAGTTTTTCTGTGGAAAAGAGTTTAAAGACTCAGAAAGATAAATAAAAATAATGATCTGAGATTGATATTTTTGCAGTGAAAACTCAAACACAACCTAAGCTCATGCTGGCATCTCTGTACTCAACCACAAGGTGGCGATAAGTGAACAGTCATAACAGACTAGAAGCTGTCCGCCAAACAAAAACACTGAAGCTGCCAACATCCACACAGACACCCTCACAAATGCACTCTGACACACAACCATTCACACAGTAGCTTAAAAAAAAAAAAAAAGGTCATAAAAACAATATCCACACAAACCACCACACAGAGCGACACATTTCAAACTAAAACCACAAAATACTAACTAACTACCGCACAGAGGGACTCTCTGAGGTTATTGGTGGTGCTCTCTGTGTGACAGCAGGTGGTGGTTTAGTAGGTAAATCCACAGCTGTTTCACCAAAAGCCTAGCACTTGCATACAGGCACATTTTACCTGTCCTGCCTCCGAGGTAGGGTGTTTCGGCTGAATATAGGGCTAGCAGAGGGGGAGGAGAGGGGACTGATGGAAGACAGGAAGGGGAAAAAAAAACGCACAACAGACACAGAGAAAGAAAGTTTTTAGAAAATAACGCAAATGAAGAAATGTTTAAGAACAGATCAAGTCCATGACGCTTCACCAGCGAAGCTAATAAGAAAACTCAGCGAGGGTGATGTCACCTCCTTAAAGCTTGAACTTCAGATGCTATTAAGTTTCCTCTATGTCATTCCTGTCACATTACAAAGTCAACCTGTCAGGATGGAATCTGCTACAATGACCACAATTACTGTATAATCAGCTGAGGGCGCCACGGGATTATGTTTCTGCTCGAGTGCAGACAGAATGACAAACAAGAAGTGACAACTCACCATGGTGGATGCTTTATCCATCATTTTGATTCTGAGTTCTTTAAAAGGTAGCTGATGTCAAGTCAACAGAATGTTGGACACAATAGATCTTAGAATAAAAGACTTCAAGTGCTCACTAGAATTAAGCATTATACAAACCATTTTTTACTTAACCGACGCTTTCATATGTAAGGAGCTTTTTATTTGCTTCATTAGGCCATGACCATTTTACATGAGGCATGCATTTCTTATTACCCTTCAACTGCTGTTTGCAGCTACAGTGGTCATTCATTAATAGCTGGATTCAGCTGGATTGTATTATTTTACTACAATTACTGTCTTATTTGTCCTTTTAACTAAAAACTCTTTTTAGCTGTTGCTATCTTAGCTTTTAGAAACACAATGTTATAATGAGGCACTGATCTGACTGAGAAACTGAGGCACACTGCAAGGTCATGAGATAACTAACCTGCTTTACTGTCTTTTTTTAACATAATGTACCAAAAGAACATTACAACTCAAAACTAGTCAACACCATAAACATTAGTAAAGTGCTTACAGAGGTAACAGTTAAGAGGACTTCTACACAATCCGACTTTTTTTCTCCTCAGGTGAACTGTCATTAATGTGAAATCTTCTGCATAAATCAAACTGATGAATGTAAAATATTAAAGGGCTCAATGTTTGATCATTCGTAGGAAATGTGTGTTCTAACCTTTCAGACATGCCGGTCTTGACACTGCCGGTGCGACCCAGAGCGGACAGCGTGTCCTCCCTGTGGGTCCCGTGGCCGCCACCTCCGGCACTGCCTAGGCTCATGTCGATGGACTCGCTGCTCGTGTGCATGCTGCTGACAGAAGGGAAACCCACGCTTCCAGTTCCACCGTGTCCACCCAGGGTGCTTTCCCTGCTCTGCACAGAGGAGCTGCTCAGGGTGGTTCCCCACGTCAGGCTGTTGGAGGGTCCAGTGGAGGAGTACACAGAGCCAGGGCTGGAGGCCTGAGGATGATCAAAAATTAGATTTAACATTAAAAAAAAATTAAAAAAAAATCTGCCTATATTTTGAAGTGATTATTTTGTGATGTGCAGCAATAAGATAGAGCACTAACACAGTCCAATTAAACACTTGCTGATTTACACATCTCGCAGTCACAGAGTAAGATTATCATATTGGGAGACATGTTTCTGGCCTAATGGGTTAACCTTAGTTAACCCTGAGCTGATGAGGGAAAAATATGTTGATATTGACCTTCTTCTAGGTCTATATTTTATCCCTACAAACTAGCATTTGGCTCTTTAACTGCCAAAAGATCGACTGTGTTAGCTGTGTTTTTACTGAGTGGCCTGTTTTGGCCCAGGACAGTGCTAACCCTATTATAAAAGCAAACAGACATATTTTTAAACATGCACCCTCACAAGTATACAAGATGTTCTAGTTTTCTCAGAGGATGTATATTCATTAGGATAACTGAGTATTTGGATATCTTCGTGCCCACTGTTTAAAAAGACACGACTGCTACTTTGTAAAAGATGACAAAGTGTGACACTTCATGATTCATAACTAATCTGGTTAAGCCTAATGAATCATGTGTGAACATGATGGAAAGGTCATGATCCAGCATGCTCACACATTTGTGCTGTGCTGCAATATGTAGCCTACAGTCAATCCAACAAGTACACACACTGCCAGGTTCTACTTCAACTGAACACACCTAACAGCAGTTCGAGGAAATTACCACATTTGTGGAATTAGTAAGGTGAGAACAGAAATTATCTCCGTGTCCCTCCCAAAGCCTTGTAGTAGTTCTACAAACATATCTCACGTGCTTAACACACATCTGGATCATTGCTGAGCTCAGAGGCGCATAACCATTTTGAATCTAAAAGCTGAACCTGACCTTCTTGTTTGGATGTCGACCAGAAATCGCAAAGCTAACACGTGCAGTCACTGTAGCATTAACTCTAAAGACCAGATGGATGTCTGTGCCAAATTTCATGGCAACCCATTTAACTTTAGTTCATGTAATCCCTGACCAACCACGGAGGAATAGGCACGTCTTCTGACTTTGGAACTGCCTTCAAAACCAGATGGTACTTCTCAAAGGCCTAATAAATAAAGTTGGGAACTCTTTCAATTCATCCTTTGTACTCCATGAATTCATTAATTAATACCTTCTTGTCATGCTGCAAACATGTTTCTTATTTTTGTATAGCTGCTTTTAAACCACAAAACAAACCAAGTAGATACTTTGGCTCTTTTTATGGTAACTAACAGGTGGTGAGCAGTTGGAGAACTGTACAGCTACATGTAAAAGTACAGCTAATGAATAAGTAGCTGTTCCCTTGACAGATCTAAAATCGACATCTACTAAAATCAACTAATATCCAGTCTAGTTCAGCAATTTTAAAAGTTTAAAAGACTGATAGCACCTATAGTGTATAAATGAAATTCTTTCTGTAGAGAATAAAGAATCTTCTTGATAGATGTAATATTTTTTATTTGACTGATATTCTAATCCAGTCTCTCCATTATTTACGTCCTGCTCACCTGCTCACTGCCCAGCGTGCCTGTCCCCGATCCAAGTGCCCGGCCTCCAAACAGATGACTGCTGGTTTCGTTGTCCAAGCAACTTAGTCCTCCATCGGGAGACTCCAGCACTGTAGCCACGTGATTCATGGTAGCATGGGGGTTGGAGATAACAGTAGAGTTCTTCATGCTTTCAGCTGTGGTCACTGGCGCCTGTTTACTGGGCTTTCCACCAAATAATCTGTGGTAAATGCGGAAGAGGCAGAAAAGCTAAAGTGCTTGTAGTAGAGCAGAAAGTGTGCAATCTTGTATTTGTAATCAGCAAATTCACAATTAACACTGTATATATCATCGCATAAATAATTCCATTTCGATTTTTGTATACAGCACCAAACCATAATCACCCAAAGGTGCTTTATATTGTGAGATAGAGAGCCTACAATAATACAGAAAAAAACTAACAATTATACAAGCCCCTATGAGCAAGTACTTGGTGAGAGTGGGAAGGAAAAACTCCCTTTTAACAGGAGGAAAGTTCTAGCAGAACCAATTAAAAAAAGTAGCATATTAATATTAATAGAAAAAGGAGTAAAATGTTTAGAGAGTACCATCATTCTATTACGTTTGTGTTGAGATGATGATCATTTCATGTTATTACTCTGAAATTTACTCTGGAAGCATCGGGCATTCGCTGAATTTAAAAATAAAAACCTTAATAAACATATGAATAAATCAATACACTGAACTAAAGCTGCCAAAGCTAGAAAAGAAGTCAGTTTGATCTTACAGGTAAGGACAAAAAGCTGCGTTGTACTTCAGAGCACCATATTTATAATAGAAGATAAAGCGTCTAAAATATGACAGAACAACTTGTTTTGTTGTTGTTGTTTTTTCTTTCATCAATACCTTAGTTTTATAATCACTGAAAGCTGAAAACTAAAACTTAGATTACCTGGACAGCCTAGTTTGGAGCTGTGGCAGGATTAAAGTGTTAAATGGAGCAGCAAAGTGATTTAAAAGTGCTTTTTTTTTTTTGCCAACAATTCAACTGTATTCATTTCGACTCTGTAACAAAGAGGACAGTAGCAAAACTGTAGCCAGTATAGAGTCAGTGAATCTGAGACAAGGCCAGCACACACACAACTCTCTCCTCTTTCTACGCTAATCTGTGGTTAGATTTAAATGGCAGGCAGCGGTGACTGGAGCCGTGGTAGGCGATAATAGCAGCACAGTCTCTTTGAAGAGTTATCACTCCCTCACATTAATGAGGGCAGAGAGCTGAGGTAAGACTCAGCTTCCATTACCCTGTGCCACACCCTACACCCCACACCACCAAGGCTGAGGCTTGGCAGCTGATCAGCCGAGCTCAAGGTCTGATTCACAATGGCCTGATTTAACCTCTCAAAGACTGTAACAAGTCTACACATGTGTTCCTTACTCACCACTACTTATCATTTGCTGTGAGTGCATGATTACTGCCTTTAAAATGGTCTTCAGTGTGTGTGTGTGTACTGCATGCGGGTGAAGTCAAGCCCATACAAGAGGGCCCCCACAGAGGGTGGCTCATCACTTAGCTGTCAGTGAGTCTGCAGGATTACTCAGCATACAAAACGATGGTTTCTAAGTGTGTGTGTTCACCTGCGTAATGTAGGTGAAGAAACCTGCTGTCTTCCTGTCAGAGGAACAGTTGCTGCTCCTCCGCTCTGCATCGCGACCCCACTCCTGAGGTTGTCAATCTCAGAGACACCTTTTTCCCGATCTGTCTGATTGGCCAGCAGGCTTGCTGAGCCGTTGGCCTTGGCTATGCTGATTGAGTTTTTCCCGTGAGAGGTGACAGAAAGCACAGCGGCTTCAATGCTGCTGGTGGAGGAGCGGTTCCCATTGCGGGCGGCTGCTCCGGAGCGGCTGGGTCTCGGCAGGCTACGGTACTGCAGGGTGGAGCGGGCGCTCATCGGGAGGAAACCGTCATCATGGTGTCCTAACACTGTGCCTCCATCCTGCCCGCCAGCCTTCAACCCTCCGGACAGTGAGCGCGCCCCAGATTTAGGCATCTTCCCCAGTGTAGCCGAGCCGCTGGTGATGGTGGCACCACTGGCGGTAACCATTGTTACCATCCCATGGCCTTGCTTCTTGAAGCCAAAGGTGCTGGTTGGGGTGCGTGAGGTCAGTGCGTGCGTCTGTGTGTGGGGCTCTGAGACGGTGTTTGTGAGTGTGTGTGTTGTCGGTGTGCGGCTGGTGGGGATCGTCTGTTTTTTGGCCTCATCACCACTGCTGCGCCCAGCATCCGAGGGTGAGCGATGAAGGCCGTTGGAACGAGGAGAGAGACGTCCTTTTTCTGACACCTTAACATCATCTGTCTTACCTGCAGGACACAGAATGAGACATCAGAAACACAGGCTTTCAAACTCTGACTTGACATCTCATTTTTCTCAATACAGTGACAATTTGTCCTTATGTCTAAAAGTTTATTCGTCACACTTGACTTTAATGATCACTTTTTTTATTATCAGTGCTGGATGATCATGTTACCTGAACTGTGGGTCTTGTGGCTCACTGAACCAGTGGAGCCTGTGCTACTAGTGCTTTTAGTCCGGGGTGACGTCACCCCCACCTGAGTGCTCATGCCTCTCCTCCAAGAGCCAGTGTGGGACACGGAGGGAGTCTTTCTTCCTGAGCCACCCTTGTCTGACTCATCAGAAATGTCGGAGGGGTTCCGACGACTCCACCTGGAACCTGTTTCCATCCTAACCCCGCTGTCTGAACGTCCGTCTGACCTCTTGACCTCGTCTCCAGACCAAGTCTGGTGTGCCGGTGTTGAGGCTGAGTGCTTCTCTGCATCCGTTACAGGCTGGGAAGACATACAAAGATAGTCAGATTTACTGCAGTAGTAGAGAATGTGGCTCTAAAAAGCCCCCTTTTATGACCAAAGCCATCATACTGGTTAAAGCTACCAGCATTTACGCCGTCATCACCACCTGTGCAGCTGTCTGAGAACATCTGGGCTTAAGCATCTCGAGCACTAACAGCTTATACACTTTTTTACCTTTGCTTTGTCAAGCAGTTCATGTTTTTGAGGAAGCTACTTCATTTCAAAATTTTCTGAAGCAAGATGCAAGCCTTTTAAAACTCCGATAGGTGATCATTGAAATCATGCTGACTGTTTAAGCTTTACCATTTTCAATTTGCTGTTACAGCTCAGCCTTAATTTGTAAATTAGTAGATTTCAGCTACAGGAAAGATGACAGCAGCTTTTAAGTAGATTCTGCAGCTTTCCAGACAACAGTACAAAAACGCAGCTCTGCTCATAGACCTTAAAAAAAATCCAGCCAATATAGGATTCCACGAGGACAGATGACACACACTTAATGAATCTGGCTGCTGCACTAAGAGAAAGACCTCTTTGTGTGCACCTTTGTTTTTCTTCTCCACCTCTGCCTCTGAAGCAATAACAGACACGCGTCAGCCACAACACAATGTGTGTGTGTGACATAAACATGTGAGTCAGCTGTTAATATTCTCATTTCACCTCTCAACTTCCTGAGCCTTTAGTGGCTCAAAATCACTATTTAATGGTTTAAAGCTAGTGTCAACACCAGCTTTAGCTTTGAGAGTTCAGAGATGTGCCGAGGAATGCTGGGACAGACACAGTTAGAAAAAAAAAATTGAAGTAGAGCAGACAGACGCTCATTCAAATCAATCAAAATAAAAATAAAAAATCCAGGCCATATGAGGCCCTTCACAAATTTTCATCTGGCTCACATTTTAAAAGATAGAATATGTTAATTTTGGCCCAGAGAGTTACATACACTCCCTGCAAATGCCAAACTAAACGGACAGGCACGTCTCCACTGCACCTGAAGATTAAAGAACACAAGAAAAAAGCAAAGTTCATTTTGAAGGCAGATCATTTCAACTCAGGTGGGAGACTGAGTATGTTTTTATAGAGTGTACAGAGAGGCCTGTATGTCCATTGGTCATCAGACAGTTTCTAAATTAAAAAAAAACATTAATGCCTTGCCGTCATTTTGAATCCACAAAGCAACAAAGATCTGGAGCCACAGATGGAAACAAAGGCTTCAGAAAGTTGTTAAACTCAAAGCAGGCATGCAACTACAGCAGAATGTTTCCAACCTCAGATACAGATGGTTTCATATTTATAACTAGCGTCAAGACAGAAGGTTAGGCTATAGATTACAGGTTTGTTAGGACTTGCAGACATGTGTGCAGCAACAACAATAAAGATTTATTATTTCTATTTTCAAATAAAGACTGTGGTTTTATCAAGCACCCCATATTTTCAGCTGTCAAATTAAAATGTCATGAAACAGGTTGGTGTGAGGTGCCCGGATGGTGGACCTCTTACACAACCATAATCAGAAAACACTGTTATGACCAAAAATAACAACAGCTAACATTTTTCTTGACTGGTACCCTTGAGTTTTCATGTGGGCACAAAGAAAATGCCTGCTCTATTTTGGCGAAATAAATCAAAAATAATGATAAAACAAAAATGATCATCTTTGACGAGAAGCTCTAAACACTCTTAAAAAGACTGCAGTATTCTTGAGTGTGTAGTCTCACCTGTGTACTGAGGCCCTTGCGCTGTGCTGCGGGGGTGTTGGCGTATGAGGAGATGGAGGAGCTGGTGTTGATGTCATCTGTGTCGATGTTGTCACTGATGCCACTGCTCACAGAGCTGCTGTCGTCCCAACTAGACACACACACACCAGTACAGGAGGAAACGCTCATTTTAAATAGTGCTTCTTCCAGAGTGAAGACAAAAAGGAAGACAGCAGAGCTTGGAGACACCAGACTGAATTGTGATGCTTCTTATCCTATGAATACAACACTGCACTACCTAAAAGTAATTATTCTGTTCCCTTTCCCCCATTTCCATATTTCTTTTCAGGCACAGACGCACAGAACTTTGAGCACTGCTAAACTGAAATAAACGTTCAGAGCTGCCTCGTGATTTATATTCATTGAAACTGAACTGAATTCAGTGTGGGTACACACACACACAAACAGGCTGAATGGGGTTGTCTATCACACGAACAAAGGCGCAATGGAGGGGTGACATCATGGTGTGCTTGTGTGTGTCTGAACTGTTCAAACAGACCCATCTGAACAGGATATTTGTAAATATGCGTGTGTGTGTGTGTTGCTTAGAATCTGTGGGGGACAGGAAACCCAGCCAGTTGGCAAAGATCACTCTGAAAGGACCGGGGGGGGGGCGCAAATGGTGATGGCCGGTACAGGGTTGGCTGCATCAGAACACACACGCGCACAACTCTTGTCAAGTTGTCACTTGCAGACTCATCGAGGACACATGCTTGTCTCAGTATATTGTACGTTTCATCTACAAATACTCTTTATAAGTTAGTCTGTCAGATAAATCTGTTATTACCTAAAATGTTCTATTTCTAAAATGAAGTAAAACCAGAGAATTTGTAAACTATGAAGGTTGTGCTGCATATGATTTGAAACAATACAGGTTGAATTTGGATTTCTTTGAGCAGTTTGTGTTTTTCTGCAGCATTCCCTTAACAAAATGAGCAAAACTCCTCAAATCAACAATAGTGTCTGAACATAAGCACCAACACAAGAGCTTCGTCTCATTAAGGGTACGTGTTTGAAAGACCACCAAAAACCTAAACTCAAATATCCCATCGTTTATTTTCTAACTGCTCCAATTCCTCATTCATCTTGCAGTCTTGATTTTTATACAACATTACTGCTCAGTGGCTAACTTGGAAGTCCGCATGAAAACATATAATTATGGCCTTAAAAAAAAGAGAAAACTAAACAAAAACAAAGCATTTCCTATGGCAAAAATCCCAGACTCAGATTGCCACCGAAACCTAATCAGCTGTTTCTTGGCAGACTCTAAACAAAATACATCTGCTGCTTTTGGAGCAACCTTGCTAACAACCTGACAAACAGAGACAGGGGAAAACACAACTTCCTTCTGGGATCACCGGCACAAGCAGAGTGAGTGGAGGCATTGGCTTTCAGAGTTGAAAGCATCCGTAAAGCATCCGTAAAGCAAACGAGCTGTGAGGTGCAGAGAGATTGAGAGTGACCGCAACCGGTTCAGCTCATCCACACAGCCACAGGGGAAATTCCCACACACATCAATGCAAGAAAAAAAAAAACCAAAAAGGAAATAAAGATAACATATGAAATCTGCAATGGCCTTTGCAGATTCTCAACAAATCATAGCTGTCTGTGCTAAAGGACAAACTTTCTACTTTCTTTTATGCGTTTGTGCGCGCACACAAAGATAAGAACACACATAGGTATCTACCTGCTCAGGGTGCCTTGGTTGCTGTGGGAAGCAGAGCGCTGCGGGAAAATGCCGAGCTGGACAGAGAGCTTCATGACTCCATGCCGCTGAGAGCGTTCACGCAGCCAAATATCTGTCCCACTCCCTCTCTGTCTGTCGCTCTCTCACTCTGAGCTTCCTCAATGTCTCTCGCTCCCTCTCTTGCCCTGGCAAAGTTCCTAGATTGAGCTCCTTTGTCACTCGTTGCGCTGATGCTTCACCCCTCGGGCACTCTTCGTCTCTCTCTGGACTAACAGAGAGAGAAACCTGTAAGGAGGGGGGGAGAAGGGCCTGCCCTACTGCTGGTAACATGAGCTTCCCCCGGGACTTTTAACCACTTCACTGCTGCAGCCGCACCACTAAAGAGTGCACACTGAAACACACCCCAAGCCCTAAATAAGCCACTTCAGCCTGACAAAAATCAAGAGGCAACAAAAGTCAAAGCTGCATGATCACAGACAAAGTCTCTGAAACTAAAGGACAATCCGCATCCCGCTGCTGCTTTTTTGTGTCTTTCCCAGCCATGGCTTATGCCTGTGTGTGTGTGTGTGTGTGTGTGTGTTTGTAAGACTGCAATTTCCCAGACAGATCCACCCTGACCAGCTGACAAGCCAGTGCTAATTAGAGATCAGGCCAAGCGGCGTGGCTCAGCCCACAGCCTCCCGCTGGCAAAGCAACCTGCCAGTTAACAACCACTGAGCCCTTTACAGCCAATCACAGGAGACAGAGACGGGGGGAACCGGTGCCAAACACAGGCCAATGAGGTCGGCATTTAATAGATCATCACACTGAGGGGATGATGTGATGTACTCCTAACTCTTCCAGTTTACCCAAATCATAAAATTATATATTTTCTCCTCTTAACCTTTTACAGGATCAAGTCATGTAGAAAATTTCGGGATTTTTAGATTTCTTCCTCTAACATAATATAACAGAAGCAAGCGGGATAGGGTATAGAAATGAACGGAAAAGTGACTCTTACATGTAGTGGAGTTTGCAGTTAAACTGTATGTACAAGTTTGTCATTCATCGGGATGACATGCGGCTACACTGTGTCACTCTGCAAACCAGTCAAACAGGACAGAAGTGAAGAAAGAAAGTGACCTAAATGAAGAGAGAGCGAGAACCCTCGTCTCAAACCAGGTCCCTTTAGAAAACTTGCTGCTTTCCCGAAGGGGTCAGAGTTCAGAAGTCAAACCTCCAAAATTCCTTAAAGAGAAAAGCAGAGAGGGGGAGGCAAGAGGATGAATGAAAAAAATGGGCTCCTGCTCGGGTCAGCCAATAGAAGTGTCTAAAAGTGTCCTGAGAAAAGGGCAGCGGTTGTGTTTGTTTTAACTTTTCTTGTGTGTGTCCCTTGAGGCTGTGGTGGGTTGGTCTGCTGTACTGTACCCCCCCTTCCTGAAAAGCCCAATCCGACTCTGGCACATGCACACAGGATCTGTGCCGCAGAAATGTACACACAGACGTGGGGCCACAACAGAGCTGCGAAGCAGAAGTAAGGGGATTTCCTGTGTTTGAGGGGTGACTACTGGTCCTCACGTTGCAGCTGTATCACATAACCCCAAACTGCTGCTCTGCCCACTATACAGACAGACAGATGGGAGAGGAAGAGGGAGCGGCTTTAACTGACGGTCTCTCTGACTTCCAGCCCTCAGGGTTTGATGCACGACGCAGATAAGAGCATGAACAACTTGACAGGTGAGTCCTGTGGAAGCATCGGGACAGAAGGAGTGTCTAGACTTTACCTCCACACAAATCAGTGCCATCATAACCATGCAAAACAATTTATTCCTATCACTAAATGGTACAGCATGAAGGATATCAATTTCTCTAAGCCAACGCTGCCTCACAACAGCATTTACACCTGCAGGTGCTCATTGCCTTGAAGCCCAGGAGGAAGTGTTTCCTGTGTTTGAGGTACTTCAAAAAGTATTATTATGGTATAAGAAAAAGTTGAAAGTCTGAAAAAAGACCATATATTTGAATACACTTAAAGCTTAAAACAAACAAACAAAACAAATGATATGAAGACTAAGTGCGAACAGTGTGAAGATGAAGGCAGTGGAGAACGGCACATTCTGGGCTGGAGCCCAGGAGCCCTGTGGTATGAAAATGACACAGCTGTCCCTGTAAGACAGGACTGGACTGGACAACACACTGTGGAATGTCTCTCTCTCTCTCGCTCTCTCCATTTTTTTCTCCATCTCTCTTTGGTGTCTAGTCCTATTGTCTTCTGTCCTGGGAAAACATTTGCTATCTATACTCTGAGAATTTATCAAAGCATGTAGATCCCTCTGGCTGCCGCTCTTTCACTTAGCTTCTCTTTGACTTCTCCCTCTCTCTCTTTCTATTTGATGTGTAAACATAGACTCCTTTAGATTTGACAGACTGACCCGGATCCACGGTAAAAACTCAACAAACTTTTCACACACGTGACACGCATCTCTGAACTCACGCACATGACTCCACCATGCTGCATCTGCACACGCGACAAAAAAACCCCTAAATTTAAAAGACTACTGTGACAAACTTGGAATTCCTCATGTCTGCAGGCATAAACACACACTGCACTCAAAACTAACCTACTGTCACCTCAATGCTAGAATGAAGCACAGAGCTGTGACTCCTGCCTGTAGACCATCGGTTAAGGAAACAGGCTCCCGGGATCGCTGGGATAAATAAAGAAAGAAAAGACGGCTACAACATAAAAACAGATTTTTCCTAAGCTGTCCCTTTTTTTTTTTTAATACTCATCTGGTTTGAAATCTTTAAAAGAGTCCCCAGATGACAGATGATAACCCACTTTAAGGAAATAAAACATTTTCAAGAGGCTTCTCTCTTACTCTTGAACCATTTGTGTTTTTCTCCCACTTTTCTAGTTTTTCGACAGATGCTCTTGGTTGGGTTTCCATCTAAGCTAACGATCAGTCATGCAGTGCAAGACTGTGCAGTAAATACAACTGCTGATGTAAAAAAACAAAAACAAAACCCCCCCCAAAAAACCCATTCCTGTTTAACATGTATCAGCTGTATATCTATTATATAAATATACAACTGGGATAAATGAAGGATAACATTTGGGAATCATGGGACAAAATATGCTGTCTGTTTCAGGTCTGCAGACCTGAAACACACTCGTGTCCCCAGAGCTTTTCCTGAGCTCACATGGTGAAACGTGGATAATCAGCTTAATACTTTAAAGCTGCAACCTGCACGAACCCCACTCCCTTACTCCCCATCTGAATTCAAGCTAACATGGAAAATATATGATTCAGGGAAGGTATGGAGAGTTAAAACTTACTCTGTGTCGCTGATTCCACAAACCACTCGCTGTAGATTAGTTAATGCTCCTTTGATCTGCATTCCCCATCTATTATCACCTCCTG